CTTGTGAGCTAAACCTTTGGTTGACCCATGTGTCACATTTCCTTTAGCAACTTATGTATGATGTGGATGTTTTGGATGTTTTGACTTATTAATTAGATGTTTTTCTTTAATGTTTTGCTATAATGTTGTTCACTTATTATGATCACATGACAAATTTATATTCAGTTAATTTTGTCATGGGAAGGCGAGAACACTTCTATGTTGCCTTTGTTGGATGACAAGTTGGTGTATATAGGACATGGATGGAGTGTCATATGCAGATTAATGCATACCCTAGTGCATTGTACAAATCATATGACCTGTATACCGAGGCAGAAAATGCTTTGCGCATGTTTATTGAACAACATGAAGGTACAACAGAGGTGCAACCTTTGAATGCCATTCAGGTCCATCCGAATCAACCAACATTGGGAAATCAACTTCCTGAAGATACAATGGACATTAATGTATCAACACCTACACCATTCTACGATTGTTAGTTAGTTGCATATGTAAAGTATGTTATTGTATTGGTTTCGGGTATGGTGGTCACCCACATCATCTACTTCTTCTTGGGTAGATTTGGAGGAATTATGTATGTTGATAATATATAAGTTGTTGAATACTTTTGCATGACTTTATAACTTGTTTAAGAACTTTTCCGTTTTACTATCCATATGACAATTTCCTAGGTATGCATGGTTATTGATAATGACTTTAAAATATATAGTTTTTTTTAATTGTTGTGGTATTAGTTAACAATGAAGCTTCCAGACATGACTAAGGATGAAGTTAAGGTCATGCTTGACTTATTAGTTGAGTTTAAGAATCGCGAGAAATTACCTGTAGTAAGCAGGTATTCAAAAAGACTGCTTAATGCACTGTTTAAACATATGTGACAAAGGATGCCTAGGTTTCATCTGTCTATGAGTAATATGTTGAGGGTAATCCTTTTCTAAGAGCGCCAGTATAATAGCATTGCTGAGATGTTAAACAGTGGTATGTTTGTTTGGGACACACAGACTACGTGTGTTATTGAAGGCTCAGCACCTGGTGATTTGGATTTCATTCAACTAAGTGATTCCAATTAATTTGTTTCACGTTCGTGTTGATACAAATTGATTTATTACTCATACATGTTGGTAATGTTATGGTTCTATATTTTCACTTCAAACATTTATCACAGGATGATAGTTTTGCTTGTAACTATTGTTTGGATCCTTGTCCAAACTTTCAATTGTTGGAAGTTATTTTCAAGAACGATGTACCAACCTCTGGCCAACAACACATTGATAGCAATGTTGGATCATGCCCATTAGTAAATTCGAGGATAAGAGAACTGGATGTCGTAGTTATTGATAATGATTGACCTCGTCCTTTGTCATGTAACAAAATTTTCGAATATTTCTTGGGGTGTATTTATGTTGACTGTGATTAGGCCAGTATAATAATGCCACATTTTGTTATGTATTATATAAGACAAAATTAATTTCTCTTGTTATTGTTAACAAATATTCACCACATTGCCTTATGTTTTGTTGTATTTTTGTATATGGCAACATTTGTATCTGGCTTTTTATATTCAATTGTTTGAATCTAATATACATGGTCTACCCTTATATCAATTATTAACTTTCCTTAAAAAAAATTATTATCTTTATGTATATGTGAAAAATGTATAATTTTATTAGGATAATCCACCAATCCAAACATAGGATAGGATTGGAGTGGAGTGGATAAAGTCATGAGTAGAATGATAAACTACTACAAAATTATTTGTGTAATCTATGGGACCCACCGAATTACACATTTGTTTCTCAAACAAAGGTTTGGATTGGATATACTCCAAGATTAGGGATTTAAAGTGGATGACTGAGTTTAGGTTGGATGGGTTAGGATATAAAAAAAAAATCCTACTCTATCCAAACACACCCTTAAGGGATCACTCCAACCACTACTATTGTATCAAAACTAGGACCCGAAAGGCCAATGAGCCAAGTTTCTTATCCATCTTAATTTTCAGATATGCAAGTACTCATGGCTATCAAAATTCCTCCTCGGATCTTAGAAACTTACGATTCTACGATATAATATAAACAAATCGATTCGAGTCTTTTGTAAAATTCCAAATTTGTAAGATCTTAACGAATCATGATGAGGATCTTATAGGATCACAGTATCCTAATTCAAATTGTAATTTTACCAATTCAAGTTGTTGAGTTTGTTTGTCAGGTGTATTTAGTAATTTAGCAATCCAATTCATATTTTTCATTTTTATACTTAAGGACTCAATCCGAATGTGAATGTCATATAATTGTGAGTATATTGAGGAATTTCAATGGATGAGAAAAATTACTGAAAGTTTGTTTCATTTATAAAAANCACAGGATGATAGTTTTGCTTGTAACTATTGTTTGGATCCTTGTCCAAACTTTCAATTGTTGGAAGTTATTTTCAAGAACGATGTACCAACCTCTGGCCAACAACACATTGATAGCAATGTTGGATCATGCCCATTAGTAAATTCGAGGATAAGAGAACTGGATGTCGTAGTTATTGATAATGATTGACCTCGTCCTTTGTCATGTAACAAAATTTTCGAATATTTCTTGGGGTGTATTTATGTTGACTGTGATTAGGCCAGTATAATAATGCCACATTTTGTTATGTATTATATAAGACAAAATTAATTTCTCTTGTTATTGTTAACAAATATTCACCACATTGCCTTATGTTTTGTTGTATTTTTGTATATGGCAACATTTGTATCTGGCTTTTTATATTCAATTGTTTGAATCTAATATACATGGTCTACCCTTATATCAATTATTAACTTTCCTTAAAAAAAATTATTATCTTTATGTATATGTGAAAAATGTATAATTTTATTAGGATAATCCACCAATCCAAACATAGGATAGGATTGGAGTGGAGTGGATAAAGTCATGAGTAGAATGATAAACTACTACAAAATTATTTGTGTAATCTATGGGACCCACCGAATTACACATTTGTTTCTCAAACAAAGGTTTGGATTGGATATACTCCAAGATTAGGGATTTAAAGTGGATGACTGAGTTTAGGTTGGATGGGTTAGGATATAAAAAAAAAATCCTACTCTATCCAAACACACCCTTAAGGGATCACTCCAACCACTACTATTGTATCAAAACTAGGACCCGAAAGGCCAATGAGCCAAGTTTCTTATCCATCTTAATTTTCAGATATGCAAGTACTCATGGCTATCAAAATTCCTCCTCGGATCTTAGAAACTTACGATTCTACGATATAATATAAACAAATCGATTCGAGTCTTTTGTAAAATTCCAAATTTGTAAGATCTTAACGAATCATGATGAGGATCTTATAGGATCACAGTATCCTAATTCAAATTGTAATTTTACCAATTCAAGTTGTTGAGTTTGTTTGTCAGGTGTATTTAGTAATTTAGCAATCCAATTCATATTTTTCATTTTTATACTTAAGGACTCAATCCGAATGTGAATGTCATATAATTGTGAGTATATTGAGGAATTTCAATGGATGAGAAAAATTACTGAAAGTTTGTTTCATTTATAAAAATGTCTTTTTAGTCGTTTGTCTCTCTTGTTGAAAAATCGAAAGACGGCGAGTGATTATAGCCAAGTAGTCTTCCATTTTTGTTCTTTTCTATTTTTTTTGTTTGGATATCTTGTATAATATTATTATCTAATAGTCTTTTAACTTTTCAATCTCCTACTTATCTCTTTCTCTGAAAGTTAAGATAAAAATATGTCAATTATTCTATTCAACTTTGAAAAACCTCACAAAATTAATATTCATCTTTGTTTTTAAACCCTCTCCAATGCACAAACGGTAGTTTCTCAAATTTCAAGCATATCTTAAGTTCTCATAATATTTCTACTTGCATATATACTAGCTTTTTTTGAGAATTTGGTATTGCTACATATATTTTTTTGTCTCATTTTCGTAGTTGACAGGATGCTCTAACGATTCTCGATTCCGATCTTATAACCTCCCCGATCAATCTAGGATAGGATCCCAATTTTAAAAATCTTAGTACTTAATGAATGGATGGAGTAAACTTTTAAATATATAAACCAACGTTGGTGGTCCTAACTATACAATGTGGGATACAAGTTCTCAAGTTCGCACAAGGGGTCAACAAACAAACAAAATACTATGGATTACCAGAAAATTCAAATGTAACTTCCAACATCCACCTATCTGAAGATGTAACTTCATCTTTGTCTTTTGAAAATTTATAAAGATTTTGATTCAGCTGCGTGATTCTTGTTTTTATGATTTTCCATATGTTTCAAATTTAGGAGGAGGATCTAATTTGAGATTTCTTAGATTGGATTGATTTGGGGGCAAGGTTACAACTTGGGGTTGTAAAAACCACCTAGATCTAGGTCGCTTACACAACCCATTTGGCGTCGTGCAATCCAAATTGAGGGTTGTGTGGATTTTAACGAAATACGGTGACACTAGGTAAGTTAACATGGTTACAAACAATATTACCGAGATCAAATGTCGATTTGGTATATGATAAAAGTACGAATATGTTGTATGGTAATTTTTTCTAATACGCAAAATGATGGATATAGGCATAATTCGTACACTATTTTGGGTCGTGGTATGTTTTACACTTTTACTTAGATCACTCTCACTATTTTTTGTATTATATGTAATTATACCTCCACATGTGCAATTTCTAATAGTAGTTGAAAAAGTGAACCATCATCCAACAAAACATAATTGTGAAAATTAAAAACTAGTGGTTGTACAATTGTATCAATACCATAATTAGTACATGGAGAATGAAATGCGTATCAAATTTGTCAATGTGACATCCGAGTACGAAATTAAGTTTGGTGGAATGAAAATTTTTTAAACTTTCCACTAAGTTTTTCATTCGAACCAAATACATGTAAGAAAATATATTTTCTATCATTTTCTTTTCTTCCACTTCACTTTCTATCATTTTTTTCTTCTTAACCAAAGGACCCTAAGGGTCTCTCCACTCATTACCAATTGATTTTAAATCAGATGCTCCAACTGTACTAACAAAGTAATAAAGAAAATAATTCTAAAACAGCACTTGACCTGCAACTCAATTGTGAACTCTGTGAATCTGTTGACAACAGTAGTTTGCGAAGGCAAGCCGTCGGTAGTTTCTTCTAAAGAGTTAGGAGGAGGACCTTCATCCCCTCCTCTCAAATAGACTTTATCATCCTCAGAAGCTGAATAGCTGCTGTTGGATCCCAATAAAATGCAGGAATCCAAGTACTGTCCATTCTGCAAAGAAAAGTAGATAATTCAACATGATTTTAAGTTACAGGCAAGTACATATATTTTGTATGTAAACTAAAATGATTGAGCCAACATTTGGATGGAATACAAACCTTGATAGTAACATTTTTAAATTGCAACCTTTTTCCATTTCCCATGTAAATTATAGGTTCTTTGCTGGGAGAAGAAAGATCAAGTCCCCGTCTATCTTTTAGATACAAGGTTCCATCTCTACCATCATAAATAAAATGGTCATATCGCTCATCATCAACCACCAAAGGTCTTCGAGGGAAAAGAGAGAATTCAGGAGAGGGTTGACTGTATGTTGATTGATCAAGAATGAGTGCATCAACTAAATGTAAAAAGTTCTCGTCCTCTTCATCTGACAGCATACTCCGAACTGTTGGCACAAAAAACTCAACTACGGCCAGCAAAAAATCAAGTGCCACAAGCAGTTGTGGCCGCTGGATATTTAAAGAAACAAATGTTGAATTGTGACTTAATTTGACATCAAGAATAAGCATTGTAGGAACAGGTTTTCCATCAACATTTGTCTCAACCAAGTGATGGTCATCATCTTCAGTGCCAAATTGCAAAGGACTATAGACAATGTTCTCGGGCTTTCGTATTGCAAGCCTTAGTTCTTGCTCTGTACCCGAGCGATCGTCTATCACTGTGAAATCCTTCAGTGTTGCTGAGAGAAAACCTTCTCCCAGTGTACTAGATTTGTACAGAAGCCATATGCCACTTGCCTGACATAAAGAAGCAATGAGATTTGAGTAAACAAAAATGCTAAATACAACAATATGATAAGTTACATTCAAATGTAACACATTTAAGAAACAGATAACCACCATAAAACCAATGTGCAAATATCCAAAAAGATTATTAACAGTATACTTGAAGGGTTAGAAAAACAGCATGGTCCAGAAATTCTAACCATATCTCATATATCAATTAATGCCAAGTAACCATTCAAAATATCAGAGAACCCAATATGATTCTTTATCAACTTAAGTTCACAGTTTTTGCACAAATTTGACTATTTTATCTTATTTTCCGGTCTCTGCCAACCATATCTTCCCTACCACTAATCAAAAGTATTTTTTGCACAACAAATAATAACATTCAAACAGCAGATTTCCTAAAAGCATACTAAACACATGGGGAGACAAATTTCTTTCCCATGTGGTCTATATCGAATTATCGTTATTCAAAGAATCCACAGCCAGTCCAATTTTTCACCCATAGCCATGAATTAGCTGTGAATCTTGAATCATAGCTTAGATGACCAAAGTTGCAAACTAAAACTAAAATTGAAAAACTTCACATTCTTATGAGAGTGGGAAACCAACTATAAAGACGTATAAAAAGAATAAAATACCTGCACAGTGGCAAGAGGTGCATCCCTTGATAATCCATAATGAAGGCACAATTCGACAAGATCAACTACAACAGAAACCTTCATGGCAATCCATGTTTCCCCATCTTGAGTGTCAGATTTAGCAGCATCTGAATCCCTGGAAATTGAACGTTGCCGCATGTCAACTGATGTCACATAATCAATGTTCAATGGGGGTATGATATTTGGAGTCTCCGAAAAATTAGCCAGTGCACATTCTGTTATTATTTGGTACTCCCTGTTTGACAGAGCTGCCTTCAATTCTTCAATCTGAAGAGTAATACTCACATCATCATTAAAATAACACTTTTCCAATGTACATAATCTAGCCATAAAAAAATCGTAAATTACAAAAGATCCTCAGAGAAACAATTTGATACCACTAGCATCTACCAGCTTTCAGTGCAATACCTTAACTGCAACTTCTGTACTTGGTATTTGATGAGACAAATCACGAAGTGACCTCCGAAACACTATATAAACCCCTTTTACATCTTGAATTATACTTTCACCTAATTGTGCTCCAGTGCCAACATTTAAGTTGATGTCTTCAACCTACATAGGATAACAGTATATCAAGCCATGATTATTCAGTAAGAAAATTTGTTCTAATTTTACAAATTTTGCAAAACCAATTTTATCAACAATGATTTCAGACGTGCATCATAGAGAATGTTTAAAAGCTAACAGCCAGAAAAATAACGACATATCCCAGAAGAGAAAGAAGGTTTTTTAATTCTTTACTCTTCACAACTTAATGGAAATCCAACGGGAACAAGTCACACTGTGCAGGGGAAGCTGAATTTTTCCTGGTGGGGCCATGTAAAAACTCACTAATTAAATAAACTTTAGGCAGCTAACCCAAGAGGCTTGGATAACTTGTTAGGAAGTTAAAAAACGAATAGTTCCACCAACTCCGAAATCTTCCTAAATAGAATTTTCTTCGTTCAACTATTTCACATCCATCACCAAGTAAAATTGACAAAATTAATACAAAACTTTTGAATTGAAAAAGGAGAAAATGAAGGTAGACGCATTAACCTATTGTTTCTAAAAAAATTCAAAAGAACAAGGCAGTTCAATAAATAGGATTGGTTGGATGGATGGGAATTCAATAGGTGTGTTATTTTCATGTGCTACGAAATTTTTAAAATGGGCATGGGAATTGACCACACTGGAGTAAGTCTGCCCCCATCCATGAGACTGTATCAGCAACTAGTTCATCTGGTAATACAATCACACAAAAAAAGGTAGTACATATCAGAATATAAATCTCACCAGCACTGTTAAAATTTCCAAGTGAACAGCATTCATTTCATTTTTGCTGCCAGAAAACCAACAAAAAGTGTTCTGGACAGTTATATGAACAATATCAAGTTTCAGATAACTGCACAGCACAGAAAATGGAGGACAAGATAAGTAATCATAACCGTCATTCAAAAAAAAGGCAGTCAAGAATAATCATCCATGATTTAAAAATATTAGTCAACAAAAATTGTCCGTGATTGAATGAGAGCTGAAAGACATGAGATGAAAGGTTTGAAACTTGCTCGAGGCTATCTGTTCTCCTCGGCATTAGTATTACAGGTTTCCTGAGAGAAAGATTCAATTTTACAGCAGGTGATCCATCAATTTCACTTGTTGTAAACCATTTTTCTGAGTTTGAAACTTGATCGTTTACTCTTACAACATCCTTTGAATTGTTGGGAACAAGGCCCATAAAGTAACTTACAACCTGCAATTAAATTTCACCCCAGCATGAGAAAATGCATAACACTGTCACTGGTAGGTAGCAGATAAAAATTGAAGATAGTTACCTCCTGAATGAATCGATTCAAATAAACAATCCGTACTTCGGAAAGCTGCCCAATAAGGCTATAATCATAACCCTCATAGTCTTCATCATCAGCACTGTATGAGCTAAAGACTAGCTGCATATTCAAAGACCAATTTTTCAAATTACGCACAAACCTCGACAAATTAATCATTACCTAAAGGAACATGGGCAGAAGTGCGGGGTGCAAGTGAGAGATAAAAAGGTAGTTTGAGCAACACTGCCATGAGTATCACAACCCCATTAAAGAGAACCATTGAAATACTCCAATGTGTTACCAGTTGGTGTAGGGTGAATTAAAAAACAAAAGTGAGTGCTGAAATAAGGCAAATTGCGTAAGAGCTCTCTTTCTCAACTCAACTCGAGCCTTAAGTTCTGCCTTTCATTTTCGATGAAGACCTGTGCTAATAACAGGCTAGGGTTGCACGTGAGCCAAGCCACACTGTGGTGTTGCTGAATGCAAAAAAGTCCGCCCCACTGGACATTAATGAATTTTTCTAGATAGGGTGAATTCAATAATAGACATCTACCGGCATTCCAGCCTTCTTTCGCCTTTCCTATCCAAAAAAGTATCCAATAATTCTTAACTTTAATATGTAAACTGGTTGCTCACTGTTTTAAGAATTCTTGTATAGGCAATTCATACCATTTAGGTAATATAAGGATTTTCATGAGGCTGATCTTGGGCTACCATCCAAGCACAGATACCTTCATTTAAGAGAGAATTTTTGGTGTAGAAAGTCTCAAATTTAGGATCTTCCACTGCATGAATTTACTTTGGATTGGGTATGACCGGAAATGTATAGAAGATGGCCATATATGTTTTGCATATTTTCCTCAGCCCGTATGCCAAGATTTATACTTCTCTCAGGAAGGCTTGGCTCTATTGAACGAAAAGAGACTTATATGTTCCAACCCCTTTTCAATATTCCTTGAGTGGAGGTCGTAACCAAGATTTTAAACTCTAAAATCTAGGACAATTGGTTGAATTTGAATCCAAATATTTTATAATAAATTACGAATTTACTAAAAGTTTCGTAAAGCGAAAAGATTGTTGATTTGAGGCTGACAAAATTTTCTCTAAAAAGACAGCTTTGGTAACAGTGCAGTTTTGAATTTTTTAGGTAGCTTAGGTCACAACGTAGGTGAGTTTTGTTTCTTGGACCAATTAGGAGGTGGTCACACTACAAGAGTTCATTCCTCCTCGGACAGATACAGAATTAACAAAAATTAGAAAATTGCAAACTAGCCTAACAAAATGAAAATCCACATCATTTGTAATCTAGGATAGTTGGTAGAATATAAATCCATATTATTTAGAATTAATGATGCATTTTCTAAAACTTTTTTAAAACAAGAAAAAAGCTGACCTGAGGGCCTAAATAGTTCAATTTCCTCTAAGATCTACAATTTTGGATACCTTTGGGATACGCCAAGAATACATAACCAATATGTTTAGTATATGCCTGGATACACTTGGTTAAATATATGATTTTTTTTATTTTCTACAACTTGAGATTGAACAAAATAAAATTAAGTATTTCTTTAAAACATAAATATCTCGTGTTAAAAGAATGGATGTCTTCAATACGTAATTAAACCAGTCCCCACTCCAATGTCATCATTCTCAAATTTAGGATTATACACATTTAGGAAATAAAAGTTAGCAAACGGCATGAAGAACTTAGATGGAATGTTATTTATTTGGTGTGTTAGGTGGCCTAGTTTTCATGCATAAAAGATCGTTGTATCTTTTATTAGAACCTCCGACCATCAAGTTGAACATATTATGGCTTAGGCATTAGGCACAAAGAGCCAAACAAATAAAAACAAAATTCAAAACTAAAGAGAAATGGTGGGAATCTTAGATAATGCCAATTAGATTAGAAAGGAAGTCAAAAGAAAAGTTAGTACATTCTACAAGTGCTTTAAAACTCGGCCCGGCCCGGCCCGGCCCGTTGACCCGGTGCCTAAACCGGGCCGGTTCACCTATTGAATCGTTTGTACATCAAAACCGGAGTAAACCCGGCAACCCGGAAAAAAACTGGTAAAAATCGTCAAACCAGATGAGTTACTCAAACCGGCCGGCTTTCTTTATTTAATATAAAAATTAAATTTTGTGCCTTTTTTGGTATTTTTGCCTTGCTACCCTAATCGTTCCTTCCCCATTCCCCCAACCAGCCCCTCTCTCTCTCACAAAGTCTCATCAGTCTTTCTATCTCTCTTTGTTTTTGGTCTCTATAGTAGTGTACACTGTGCTCGCATCGAAGGGGTAGGAAATTTTGATCCCTAGCTTCTTTGCTTCGATTTCGACTTTTGAAGGAGAAACTTATTTCACCTTCACTGCTTCAGAGCTCTATCGACATCGAGGCAACCGATCTACAACGACCACCAGACATCGTAATAGGTATACTACTCTCTCTCTCTCTCTGTTAATGGGGTTGTTCTAATTTGCTTTTCCAAGAAAAATTGCTTAGTCGATTTAGTGATTTGCTTCAATTCTAAATTGTGTAATTACTTGGCTTATGTTTGCTTGGGCCTTTACTGTTTAGTTGCTCCTGTAATTGTTCGTAATTGCTGAATTGTTTAATTTGGTTGTGGCTTTGGTTGTGACTGGTGTATTCTTTTAACTTTACCAATGTTGAAACTTGAACATATATAATTGTTACCCATTACAATCGTTACGCAATGGGTTCTGTGATATTGCTCATTAGTAGATGTATGAGCATTGAGTGATATACTGGACATAAACAATTTTAGGTGTTCAATATACTTTTTCTCTCTGAGAATTTATTTGTATTTTGTATAGATTGAATTTTGATAATTGATGAAGCTATATTTTTTTACATTGAGTTGTATTTTTTTTTTTCTTGGGTGGGTTACATTGTATCTATTGAATTTTGATAGTTGATAATTGATAATGCAATATTTTTAGAACTATTGGGTTTCATTTTTTTTTTTTTTGGTGGGTTAGAATTTGGAGGGATTGATCTCAATTTGGTCTTAGTCTCTCAGTTTGTGGGTTACATTTTTTTTTTTTTGTGGGTTACAATATTATTAGGATGTTATTAATACTAGATATTTCTAGGCTTGAAATTAATTTTAGATATATAGTTGTTTTTTATGCTGTGAAATGAGATGATGTTGAATTTATTGACTTATGCATCTTAATTTATACTTTGAAGAGTGCAAATTACATGGATTATACTTGGATTGAATGTTTGATGCATAGTCGAAGACTTGGACTTAGAATCTTGAAGTTAAATAGAGGTATTTTTTTACTACTTATCTTTAGATTTACAAATTATATTAGAAATTAAATGCATTTGATACGTGTTTGATGACTTTTCTCTACTTAACTTTACATGTTTGCTACTATTATCATAATTATTATGATTTTTTAGCCTATTTATTATTATCTATTTTTTTATTATATGACCAGTTCGACCAGTAACCCAACGGTTGAACCAATGACCCATTGATCCGGTCTCTCTACCAGGTTGATGTCCGAGCCGGGTTTTAAAACTATGCATTCTACTCAACACAAGAAGGAAGCCCGGATACATGACTACATCACTAGAATATTTGTTGGGGGAGCCAATCATAACTAAGGTGATAAACACCTTATACGAGCATGGCAACACCTGAACTAGACTCTGTTTGACATATTGCCAGAGGCATCTAACTGGAAACCAAATGGCTAAGGTTTGAGACACAGTATCCTTTATTTGGATGTGAGTGTTAAGAGAGTTTGAATCAAACATCAAATAATTAAGACTACCAAAGTTGGTTTATATACTTTTGAGGCTACTCCACCCACCGCCTATTAGTTTAAGGTTGGATGCTCTAAAATGGTATCAAAGTTAGGCATTGGGTAGTCAGTGAATCAAGCCTCTTACCATTTGAATTTTTCGGTATGCATGGTTGTTTGTTTGTTTATTGACCCCACGGGCAAGCCCGAGTCCCATGCATGGGTGTTAAGAGAGCTTGTATCCCACATCAAATAATTGTTCTGACAATGAGATCAAGTTCCCTTCACCAAACCCAAAGGACTAAATTTTCAATACTCAAGTGATGGTATACACACATCATGTCAATATTCACTGGGTGATGAAAACATTAACATAAGAAAAGAATCAAACAATTAAGCACGATCGATTGAGAAAGCCATGAAATCAATTTGTGATTCAAACATCAATAATTGAGAACCAATCGTTCCATCAAGCAACTAAGGATGATCGATTGAGAAAGCCATGAAATCAACCTGTGATTCACATGTCAATAATTGAGAACCAATCATTCCACCATTCGTAAAATTTGATTGTGTTGACTCAAAGTTTTATCATGTGATGGTTACACCAAAGCATAGGGAAAAGCAAAGATCAAGTCTCAAAAGGACGAATAAATTGCAATGAAAAATATTCTCTATGGGGTTCCCTACTTTTTCTAGAGCTTTCACAATTTCACTCATAAATATCCTAATGTAGCTTTATGAGTTATAAATAAGGACCATCATAAGATTCGAATGAACACAGTAATGAGTGTTTCCATTCCAGCAACAACATAAACCAATCATCACAAAATGAGCTCTGAATTTGTAAGGCCAGTCAAAACATGTAACGAGAAAATTTTTGCAAAATTCAAAGCTCATAAGCAACCATGAAATGGATATTACAGGCAACAACCTTTTATCATAAAAAGGAATCATACTATTACCTCCACGAAAGAAGTCCCACCCGGATCTCTCATATCACAGACCCAGAAGTACATATGGCTGCTACAAAGACTGTCATCACTAATTCTCAGATTTCCAAGGGATGCCTTTATACTAAAAGAAGATGGAAACACCTAGGGAAAGAAAATGACTAAAAATGAATTTAAGTTTAGGTGGATATGATCTATCACACAATTAATTGAATTTCAACACCAAAAAGAAAGGGAAAAATGGGCTAATTGCAAACCTTAATATCAGTAAGAAAATGATCTTGTGACAGAGTAGCAAGCTTACTCCCATTTTCTTTCATCAGCAAAATCTGAGCACGAGCCATTTTCACTGTTAAATAGAACATGATTCTGGACTTTCCCTTCCCCAGCAAGCCCTTGACTGGGGGCGCCTCTGCTATGGCTGACTGCTGATTATCAACCTCATCTTCCCTTGAGGTATCATTTTGCCTAATGACTGTAGAAGAATTATCACTGAAGGATTCACAGCTTCCGTCCTCAATGTTAATAGCATTTGTAAATTCTATGATGGCAAGTATTGTGGGCCTACGACAAAACAATGACAAGGTAGCAAGCATCACAGTCACCTGGAATGATCAATGAGGAGCACGTTAGAATCCACAAAAAGGTTAGGGGAGGATCAGGGACTCAACTGAAAACTCACCCGTTTATCAATATTACGATAGCGTAAGGACTTCTGGTCATAAATAACTATTTGAGCTTTCACAAAACTATCTAATGTATCAGTAACTTCCATGTTATCATTTCCGGCATGTATAATGTCACTAGGAAGTAGACCATTGACACGACTAAAACTAGGAGGCTTCACAAAATCATTAAGATCTTCTGACGCCTCGTAAAATTTATCATCTCCTTCAAATTGGCCTAAGTCATTGCTGCCAGATGTCTGATCATCAGTGTCTTTTGGGAATGAAGGCACATCTGTACTCTGGATGAATGATCTCGCCAAATAACAAGGTTGAGACCTCCCCTCGCAGCAAACTAAATCCTCTACCTCCAATGATCTCAAGACGGTGCCAATGAACATGTCATTTGCTCTGATTGAAAGCTCAACCTGTTCTTGGAGATCAGTTTGAATCATCAACAATGGGGAAGCAAGAAAGCAACCACCAAAAAAAAAAAGAAGCAAGTTCAATATTAGTCTTACCCGACCACCAATTGCTCGGAATTCAAATAAACGACTCTCCTCAGCTACAAGCACCCTCATGAAACTCCAGTCATGCTAGACGAAGGCAGAGATCATATCACACATGGGAACAATATCTCAGTTGTTTAATTGAAGGACAACAGAAGTATTGAAAAATCAATTAATGCATACCTGGCTATTGTAATCGAAGAAAACTTTTAACTCATCAAGATCACCAGTTATAAACAATCTCTCCACCTCTGAAGTCTCCATCAAATGATTGTTAACAAGGTCTGGCTCTGAGTCTTCTGAATCCAACAAAGTTTCAGATAGATTTGCAATAGGAGCGGAACCCTGCAAGAAAAACTCCATGAGCACCCCTTCTGCATCGTGGACTGAGAGTTGTGACTTGCACAGTAAGACTCCAAGACCCAGAAGGAATTTGTTTGCTTGTGATGGATTTTCATGACAAAGAAATCATAAAAATAAAAATTAGCAAAAACACTGAAATATGCCATTAGAATCACACTGCAAAAGGATAGTAAAGGGCCCATCTCCAAACAAAGGGTCCTAATCTCTCGGCCATCCTTGTTGGATGAGAATCAATGCAGCAAGGCCCCAAACCAAACTTCATATTCACACATTGCCATAGAAAAATTCTTGCAAAGATCGATATCAATTGGATTAAAGCGCAAGAAACAAAAAAAGAAAAAATACTCCAATTTTCCCCAGCTGATATCAAAGTGGGAAGGAGCAGCAGGCTGCTAAGGCAAGCCTCTCGAGAAAGGACATTATCATTAAACCGTTCAAACTCTTCCACTTTCATATCGATAGGTACATACCTAGGAAGCACAGATACTTCTCGGAGAGGTGTCGTGGCAGTGTCCGACACAAACATGCCTTGGACACGTATCAGACACAACTAGAAGTGTCCTGAATAGTGAACATAGTCGACCATGGCTAGGACGCGGCCAGGATACCCACGGCCAGCACACGGTGAATTGTTTAAAGACTGTTACCTATTAAAAATGGTGCAATTTCTATTTTTTTTAATATTTTTTATTGTATTGCTAATGAATGCAATGATATTTGATAATAATAGCCGTATCTTTATCGTACTTGTGTCCTATATTTTCGAATTTTGTCGTGTGTGTGTATATATATATATATATATATATCTATTATTTGAGCACGTACAGTTGCATATTGTGGTATAAAGATGTCAAACTACATATATATAGACAAATTTATATATATATACTCGCCCACAATATTTTGCACCACAATATGTCAAACCACATACATACAGACATATATGTATACATAGTTATGTAGTTTGATAGACACAGAGACAGAGATAGAGACTGAGACACACACACACACACATATCCATATATATATATATATATATATTATTTGAGCACAAAGATGTTAAAATACATATCGATTACCAATGTGCGATAAATAGCCTCTTGCAAGCGGCTCTGCCATGTCCTCCGTGAATCATCAGAGTCGCATCGCAATATTAGAGCATTTGCATCTTCTACAACCTGCATACAAATGGCGATGCAAACAAAATAAGATAAGAACCAAGAAAACCAAGAAACTATTCCAAATCAAGCACCAGATTACTGCAAAGAGATGGTCTAATAACCAGACAATTACAACCTTGTCATTCGAGCGTCCAACATCACAAATAGCCAATACATGTTCCTCGTTGCCAACAATTTCTGCCAGGAGTTGATATATTTCTTTTCCTCGTAGGCTACGAAAAGCACAAGGGTAGACTACATTAATACTACAAACCCCCAAAAATACTGCCCACGTTGATACCATAAATGGTGGAACCAACACATGGGATTGTAGAATGGCATGTGGTAACTGGAATATATAGTATCTAATTAATGAACAAGATGACACTCCACAATAGTATCATAATCCCTAAGAGGAATACGTGTTTTAATGGAATACACAAATTGTAGGTATTCATTACAAATATGTAATTTACTCATATGACCTTATAATTATTACAAATAACAGTTGATTCACCTAGGATTCAACGCTTTCTTCGATCTGCCTCAGCATCTTTCTCACAAGTTCTCGCCCTATCACAAAATGGTGCCAAAACTTTGGATCAAAGAGGAATATCAAGAGCTTGTCTAACTGTTCCCCTTTTCTCATTTCTCAAAGCTTTCTCTTCTTACAAGAAATAATCTGGTCATTCTTATACCACCATTTGATTTCTATCAAGAATTGGCCTATTTCACATCCAACTTCCCAAAAGTATCCTTTTTCCGCTTTTTAGATCCTGTTTTAACACATAATGTTTCCCAGCCAAGACATAGATGTGAATAATATACCGCACCCACCATCTACCAACCAAATCATTGAAGCCCTCCTCCTTCAACCACATGTTTTCAAGTCTAACAAGAGTCATAAATCTAAGAAATCTCTCATGGCCGCGGAGATTCTACCACAACTAGTCTCTTCCTGGGGAAGCACACCATATTGAAATCCTCTCCATAACAAAGGTTTCTCCCCAATCCACAACTCCCACAAAAGATAACTGCATTTCAAATTCTGCACTAGACCATCCACTCTGCACTTTGTTCAAACCCGTCATTGGCTACATGGGGAAAAAACAAAACACTAGATTTTTCCCCTACCAATTATCCAACTTCTTCACCACCATCATGTCCCAAAAAAAAAAAAAAAACAGCAACTCATCCATGTTCCAAACTTTGGTTCCTTGTGAATGCATAACCCTTACCCCACCTGGGCAAGAAAAAAGAGTTGCTTTCAATATGTTTCTCATAAGTCATAACCTTTTTATCTCGGGCATTCATCCCTCGCATTCCCGAACAAAAGTTGCATATGCACAAGGAAATGATCAATTGCCGCCTCCTCTTCCCCTACCACTAGTATTGATAACATGTGTGTCCTTGCTCCCATAATTAACATACAATGCTAGACTTCTTAACTCCATCACTATTCTGCGAGATTTACTGGGACAATCTTTGTTAGGAGAGACATAAGGTACCCATCACCATCCCCCCCCCCCCCAAAAAAAAAAAAAAAAAAACACCCATGCGAGAGAACACGTCTAGTGATACACCCAAACACACCAACTTCACTAGAAGCAATGTTGATACTTCATTATATTTGGTCTGCAAACCTAACATGAGATCGCCTCACGCAGAAACTCAAATTCACACGAAGATGAAGGAGAAACGAGAAAAGTAATGAATCATTCTACAGATGCAACTAACCTATCCCACGATGAGGTCACCTCCTAACACGGGTAACCTCCACAGAGCTATGTTGTTTTCCCTTACTGACGCAGAAGACTATTTTCAATCCCCCCCTTCTCCTTAGACTACTAACCCTTTTTCAATTGGTCTTCATTCTCTATATAGAAGCACATATTCGTTCCTCCCTTATTCCTGACCTTCTAACCCTTTACGTCTTTGCTCACAAACACAATGTAGCACATTAGGTCAACTTACAAGACACTAAGTCGTCTAACCATTTTTGAATAAAAAAAAGGCTTTCTTTCAAGTCCATTAATTCATCGTGATTTTGATCTCAACTGAGCCTGTTTCGTTATCCGTTCTTAGCCCATCCAAAACTTCAAATTGCTCGCACTTTTGCTTCGACAAGCTTAACCAGGCAGCTCAGCCCCTCCACTCTCCTTTGATTTATAAGACCAACTAAACTAACTCAATTATGGTTCAAGGTCGCAATATTGATCATAAACTCAAATGACACTGATACACAATAGTCATGTCGAACGATACACAAAGATGCTAGATAAAAGAAGTTAGGCATGATGATTGATTCAAACTATAAAGTAGCATCACCAAACAGTGTCTAGCAATACACTTTGATTTGTTAATGATGAATTAGACAAATCACTCGGCTTGTTCGAAAAGCCCCCAAGTCCACGAGTTGAGCGAGACATGTGATTTACACAACACGTGTCTAAAAAGTAAAGACTGTGTTCTGGATCAACTCGCCAAGAGTCATATCGGTATCAACCGCTAGTTTAAACAAAATGTTCTTTGTAAATTCAATACTTGTCACATGCCCCTTCACCGCCCATGCATTATGCACACCTCTCGCGCTTGTGCACCATGCCCCATCATCTCCCATTCTAGACAACCTCTTACTCCTCTATTGCAACATCAAGATCAAGCTAATTTCAAGCCAAATAGTAACACAAACCCTTCGGTATCCAACAGCAACATCAATTACAAGAAGAGTTGCTTTTGTTTACTCTCCATTACAATCTAAGCCCACTAGTAATCTTGCCAATTATGAGCCTCTCTGACTACACCCAAAAACTTCCCGCATATATCTCCAATGACATTGGACCTTGAAGATTCAAAACATAAGAAACTAAACACAAAAGATCATATATTCTTCACCTACAATAGTATATCCTTTGCAAGGAGGATGTGTAGTGCATGTACCGCTTGTTCTCACATTGCTCCTTTGTTCCTAAATTGTAGAATAGACTTTTGGTGATGGTTGGTATTCCTTCAATGATACCAAGAAGTTGTGACTTGGTACCTATCATTGATTTTGTGGACTATTGTTATAGCAATGAAGCTAGTGTCTTTATGGAATTGTGTGGTGTTGGCTTTGTTTTGAGTGGTATGGTTGGAAAGAATGGAGATTTTTTTATGATGGGGAGCCCCATTGGAAAGACTTGTGAGATAAAATAACATTCTTGGCTTCTCTTAGAACATTAGCATCGAAGGAGTTTGAAGGTCTGTTGTCATCCTTAAAAAGGATCATTGTTCTCAATTATGTGAGGAGTGTTGATACACTTCTTTTATTTCCTTGACTTTTTCCCTTACTCAAATTTTCAATTTCATTTTTCTCTTTGTTTTGTTTGTATTCTTTTAGAGGACAACTTATCCTCTCACGAACTTTCTTAACGTGATATTTATAACAAAATCTTGTTTCTTATCAAAAAAATCCTAGTGTTTCACCCATTTCACTTGATCCAACCAGTCTTGCTTTGTGATCCATGCCATTGATCTCCATCAATCTGACACAAATTCTCTGCCTTCCATTGTGTTCTTTCCCTCCCTCAACACTCTTCTCACTTCCATCTCCGATGGGATTCAGCCATGAATAATGCCCTCCAAAGCTCATTCAGTGTGACTCCAATGGACAAGGGATGTTAATCAAGCATTCAAGCATGAGTACGTTCAGACTAGAATCGAGTTGTTTAATTGTATGTTAAAGCTCGGCTCGAGCTTGACTACTAATCCCAAGTAGTTGTTCAAACTCAATTCCACAAAAGCTCGGCCCGAGGTTGAGCCGAAAACAAGCTTTGAGAATAAACCCACAAATCCTAACATATAAGAACTCTAAATTGCAAAACTTCCAACTTACAAAACTTAAAAACATATAACGCGAACATGTATATAGGGACAGTACGACTTCTTGTAACAGCTTGTTAAGATTGGGTGGACAGTCAAATTACGTAGGGATGGTGGTGGCCAAGGATCAAAATTTCGTTTCGGTGTATTGTTTCGGTCACCTAAGAAACGGAAACGTTTCGATGTATTTCGAAAACGTTTCGATCCGTTTCGAAAACATAATGAAAAAAATAAATAATTTAATAATTATTTTTCTAAAACATTGATTGAAATATATCAAAGTATCTTGAAATACCTTGAAACATTTTGAAATAATTGTGCAAATGCATTGAAATACTATAACATATCTCGAAATATTAGAATTTCGATTTTATCACTGTTTCGTTTCGGTCTCCCTGAAAATTAAAGCGTTTCGGACGTTTCGAAACGATATCTTAATCCTTGGTGGTGGCTATGGTGACAATAGGGGTAACAGTCGTTGGAAAATTTTGGAATAAGATCATGAATGCAAGAAAGGGGAATAGAGAGTTAAGAGGCAGAGGTTGAGAGTTGCGAGAGAGTTAGAGAGGAAGAATGAAGGAGAAATAAGAAATACCCTATTGAGTCTTTTTCTTTTTTCTTTTCAAGGTAAAACTGATAGAAAGGTAGAGAGAGGTGGGAGGGAAAATAAGTGTCAATCTCCATATATGCCACAAGAAACCAGGTCTCGTGATGGTGTTTGTTATTCATACCTGCCCACCCAACCCACCTTAACTTGTCTATACACAAGTTACTAACCACCAGCAGTGTTTTGTAGTCCCATTTCACCTTTGCAACTCTGCCAGGCCATAATGATGGTTGCTGCTAATTGAGGCACATCCCCTTTGCCAACATGTCTCCATTCCCATTTGCCCCAAAAAAAATTCTCTGGTCCCTTTCAATCCTTCCCCACACAATCACCTTCCAACATGACAAAACCACCCTAGGGCGTCAAGTCAAGTCTGATCTCTTGCCTCACTCCTTCCCTTCTAACCACAAAGTGAAACCCTCAATTGCCACCATCATCGAGGTCCAAGTACTGCCTTTCAACTTGTACCATTATGAAGATGTTAAAGTCACCGACTAGTGATGCTCAAAGACAAACTCATATCTGGGAAAGACTTAGGTGTTTGCATCCTATTTCCTACCTTTGTTATCACATTATACACTGTAGAAAATGTAAAAAAGTTCGTTTTTTTCCTTCATTGTTGAAGGTTGTCTCTTCGGGTATTAGCATTTCTTACAGTTTTTTTGATCAAATACGAGAGAAGCATTTCTTACATATAAACTAATAACAAACAGAAAGAAGGCCCTTTTCCCATATTCATTTTCTTGGAGGAAGATTTTAATTCTCTGCATCAGTACCCTCTATATCGTGTTACTTGTATCCACTGCAATAGATGATTACACACCAACAGTAAACAATTTCGACAATGTGGATTTGAACCTGAGACGCTGCTTGTAAGATCTTGAGCCAGGGTTTTCGAGTACATAAAGAAAAGGCCCCACAAGACAGATGTATCGCCGCTGCCAGACAGCTTCCCTACTTCCCACACCCTACCACAATAAAAAAGATATGAAAATCAGGGAGATTAAGAAACTATAAGGAATTTTATAGAAATTTCACCTTCCAGGTAAGGACAGACAACCATCCCTCAAAATCAGATTGATTCCAAGGGCGGATGAGATCGGCATTATCGCCATCCTCTCCCTGGAAGATCTTTGCAACTTGCATCAGCCGATGATAGCGAGCAGGAGAAAAATGAAATGCCAGGGATGGGAGCCGCATGGCAAGTCTTGTTGAAGGATAGGAGGGGTTGTCAAATCGAATCTAGATAAAAAGGTGTCATTGCAAATAGCTTCAATATCTTGACCTCATGAAGAAGTTAAACATACAACCATCTGTATTGCAAAGATCAAAAAGGGTACATAGCAAACAAGTATTACCTGTTGAAGCTTCAAAATCACCCCGCACTTATCAATAACAGGAAGGAAATTAGTAACAGTAAACTTGGAAGTATCATCAGTTCTAGACAGAGAGGACTGACTCCAATGATAATCACCATCAACCAAAAAAGCAGACACATCACTCAAAACCAGATCAAATTGAATGTATAAATTCGTTTCGTCAGGTGAAACCCATTCGCTGTCGTCCTGCACATTGAATAAAATTAACATAAGAGTTGGCTAAGAAAAATAGTCCAAATATTTTGAGAAGCTTTCAGAACCAACCCGAGTACGAATTACTAAGTTCCCCAAGTCAAGCATAAGTTTAGTGGAGTGGATACTGTCTGGGCGGAAGTCAGTAGGAATAGTAATCTTGGGAGCTGCAATATCCAGGTCCAAGAAAAACCTTGCAGCAAGTGAATAAATAAAATATCAAAAAGTGAACAACCTGAAACAACAAAAGGAAGATCTGTGCGGACAAAGGTAAGTTGTTTGCATAGTAGCAGAAATATACTAACAATAAAAAAACCCCACGTGACACAAACAAATGAACGGTATAAAAACTGTATCTGTAAAACACCAGAGACGGTCACCAGATCCTACACAAACTTGTAACCATAGAAGTCCTAAAATTATGCCACGTTAATTAAGCTATAGTAAGAAGTTGACCACTCTCAGTAAAACCTTCGCAAGCAGGCATATAAAAATTGGATGCTCCTAACAAACCTGGTATGATCCTTCAATGCTCGGTTCACTTGCTGTTGTGCAGTGCGCTTAACTTCATCAATTGTCATCTGACAGAGGAAGGATGAGACCAGGAAAACATCAATAGAAGGAAAGTATTAGCCACACTATTTCAAATGTATATTGAAGGGCTGCCACACTCACACAACAAGCACCAGTATCTGATGAAGATGCAATAATTAAATACAAAATATCATTTTCAATATTTCTCATCTGTCTTGTCAAATCTCAGCACATACAGATCACAAAAAAACATGTTTTTAGTAGTAGCGATGGCAGCACATGTTGCAGCCACAATGTCACAACGCAGAAACACCGCAGATAGAGATAGCAAACCATGGTTACCAAACTTTCTGCAACAATCAACATTTCCAGAAGGACTCCCAGTTACTGCACTAAATCATATACTGAGGTGCTCCCTGCCGGTTGTTGGAACGATGCGAGCAGGACCGGGTCTCAATTCAAAAAGATGGAGGACCAAAAAGTATTAAATAGGGGGTTACAAATTCCCCATCTCATTGGGTAGTCGCAAAAATATATTCGTAGGGTCACATGCATACAGATATCCAATTGATGATGAGACCGAATCAACATTATACACCCATGGCTTCAGGCGTCACTGTTCACCATGCAGAATGACACAAACGGTCCCATGATTGTAGAGATATAGCATATTGTCCTATAATTAATACAAAAACTCAACTCAACTGACCTTATCCCAACTCGGGGTATTTAAAATTAGTACATTATCATACAGAATAACCTTAAATCATTGGCATCTCTAACAAAAAAAATTGACGTTTAAGGCTCAGAACCTCTAAAAACCTCGATCTAAGATTTGTAACAGTCGAGTTCTCCAATTATCATTGCTTTAAATAAGAGAAAAAAAAAATACCATCCGATTTAAGAGCAAAGAAAATACCATAACAAGCCATTTTGCCAATATGAATAAATTTATGTTGTAAGTACAAATATTTAAGTTATATCCTCTCCAACAGTAGCTTAAGTTTTTGGAGTAGATGGTTGTTTACTATGGTATTAGAGCAGGAGGTTTTGTATTCAAATTTCGCCGCCACCTTATTTATTAAAAGGTTTTACACATGTTAGGCCCAAATTCTAACAATCACATGAGGGGGCATGTAGAAGTATGAAGTATAAATACTTAAGTTACACCATCTTTAATAACTTAAGCTTTTTAGAGTAGATAGTTGTTTAATAATTTATAAGCTCATCATGGCACATAAGCAACCATAAGGATTACACGACACATCCTGGAGACCCAACCATTTAAGAGCTGCGATCCCATTCCACATAGTCCCCTGCAGACGTTCCCTCAGAAAAGGCTGATGCATGTGGTAGTGACGACCCACAGATGTCCGCGGGAAATAGTTGAATTTTCAGAGAAACCTAAAATACCTCCCTGATAGCTCCAAAAACCAAAATAAGAATAAGAATTGAAAAACCAGGTAGCTGTGCCAATAAAAGAAATGTCAGACGAGTCTGTTGGACTGCATCAAGGTGAAAATTGGAGTTCAATAACTCACTGAAGGACTTGGAAAAAGCCATGGGCATTAAGAGCGATTGAACCAACCTGCCCCCCCCCCCC